AATAAATTAATACAGTGCTAATGGGCCATCTATTTGCAAGGAAATAGAGGAATATATGTAATTCATGTATTTTTTACTTTCTTGCTCAAAAATTTCATGAGCTCCTAAAAAAACAACAGTTTACTGAAGAACAGAATGACCAAGTCTTTAACAAAAAAAGGTCGTATGCATAGATGCTTATGCAGTTACTCGGAGTAAGCTCTCAAGTCCCAATTTAACTTTTGCCCCGTCTATAAGCACCATTACCTCTAAATTTAGGTAATCAATCAATTTTTGTAAATAAAATTGTAATTTCAAACTTCGAACCTGTGTAGTAAAACTGTCTTATTTTACTGATTTATTTTTAATACAAATTTAGACCGCAAATGATTATGGCATACAATACAGCCTTTACAAAAATATATATTAGAACTATTTTAAGGTATACATATCCACAGTGGCTTTATATCCCACACTAAAACCATTTCAGTTGATGACATCACTACTCATGCGTTTCATCAGGAAAAATGTCACCTGTCAAATTAACGGCCAGTGGGAGTTCTAGAAGTATCAGAATTCTGGGAGTCCTAGTGTTAAATAATTTACTCTCACTATACACAGGTTTGTTGAAGAACAACAGTATCTTCAAGAACAAGGCACCAACCACACCAGTCAGGGTAAAGGTATAGAGCAGGTTAAAGCAGGGTTAGGTTATAGACTACTACGCTATTTAATCCCTTATCCCACTAAGACTTAATGGTTCACCTAAATATACAGACTGGGAAAGGAGAGCATGGGCCAGAAAAGCACACCAGAGACCCATTGTAACTCAAGCGTAGCTGCAGACATCCACAGCTATAAACAGGAAAACAAGTCAACAAGAATCACATTTAAGCTGGTCACAAATGTGGCTTTACTAAAATAGTGGTAATAAGAAGAAAGTCTTTGAAAGAAAGGCACAAAGTCAATTTTACACCAACTATGTCAAGGATAGATCAAACACATGGATTGTACTCTATTCAGATCTGATAAAAAAAAAAAAACTTTTTCACCTACGGCAAATGTAATACTGCACCTTAAAAATATAGCAAAAACACCCCAAAGACAGTGTTTAGAATGTGTAAGAAAGTCCAAAAATGTTGGCCAGTTTTTGGAATGGATAAATTCATCAGGCAGTTTCTGAAGGTCAGTTAAACAGTTAATGTCAACAGGCGTAGCGGATGCCTCATAAACACATTGAAGATTAGTACCATCACTTTTTAGGTTTGGTCACTTAGGTTTACATTTTGCACAATCAAGCAACCTACACTAGCAACCTGTTATAACTAAACCAGTTTGGTCAGTCTAGAGGACAATGGGCCTTATTTCTATAACTTAAAATGCTGTCTGTTGGTCCAACTTTGAAAAGCTTTGGCCTTCTTCAATGGCATTTATGCTGCTGCTGAGTATCAGCATAAATGCATAGAGCACACTCTCCCATGGTGCAGAGCACACCCTCGCTGGGCTAATTAATGTTAGTTTATGCAGGTACCAACTGCTCATTTAAAAGATGTAAGCCTTCTGGGTAGACTGAGCTCAGGTCTATGTTTAATAATGTTCCATTCACTTTGCAGCAGATCAGCACACTCTGGGAGAACTCTATGAAAATCTGCGCAGGCCTTTAAGAGCTAAAGGCAGCTCTGCTCATATTTGGGTGGTGGCTTCTGGTGGCGAGGTGAAGAGATTAAGACTGCCTCCAGTATACGCTGACTGTCTGTGGAAATAAGAAAGCTAAGAGCCTCCCTCCCAACCTCTAATCCAACCTCAGAGCATCCCTTCTGCCAGCCGTGGCTTCATAGCTTTGGGGGTAATTGAGTCCGTTTAGCGGAGGAGCTGTCTCTTTCTCCCTCTGTGTTTTTAAAAACCTCTAGGCCTGGTTCTGAAACCTCCTGCTGACAGTCTAAAAGCGGCCTGCTCTCTCCCTCTGAGTCTGTCCTTTATATCCTCTTCCTTGCTGCTTAATTGAACTGGCCAGGCCAGTTTGTTGATGCTGACGGGTGGAAAGAAAAAAACCCACAGACCTCAGAATCTAACATTCTTTTTTAGCAAAGTATCCAAGATGGAGAGAATTGAGAAATATTAACATTTTTAAGTACTTTTTTAATGGTTTAAAGGAAATAAATAAGGCTATTTGTTGAGGTTTTTAGGCTAGGAGGTTCTACTTGAAAACAAAAAGTAAGGTAACAGGACTGAAACGTAAAACCTGTGTGGAGTAAAGAAAAGAGGAAAGAGGAGCCATAAAATGCTTTTTAACATCTATTTATGTCTGCTCAGATTGTGTGTCATATTACAGGATTTGAGACAAATGATTTAAATGCATGGCCATGTGGAAAGAAAGGCTTCTTTAAGTGCAGTAATTGCCTTCACGTACTCGGATCACGTATTTCGCGTGCAAGCTTTTCCCAAGGAAAGGCCACTTTCTGTAAGATCTAAGAGCATGCAGCCAAATGAATGCGCTTACAGTAGTTCTTTAACACTTTGAAGGCGCCTGATGATCCGCTTGCTGCCTCTCCCCCAGGAGACAGGAGCTAGCCTTTTAGAAGAGGCCCTGTGCTTTATTTGCTGTGAGAGGGTCAGTATATTCTCTAAGTAAGTTGGCTCTCCCCTCTGTACTCCATCACAACCTCATTTGATGCTTTAAATCTGGGTTAAAGAGCAGCGTTGGACTGTGTATCCTGAGTAGTTATCGCTTTTCTCCACACAAACATGCAACTCTGTGTAGATTATCAGCTGCATGAAAGTTTAACCTTGCTTCTGTCTTTCAGGATAATTTAATGGACTTAATATGCAGTGGCGAGCATTTGATTATGGTTGAAAGAGGCTTTTATGTGCCTGATTTTCTGAAAGAACAAGAACACCTGTTCTGGCCGTGCCTTCTTACTCACCACAGAGGAAATACTAACAGTCTCTGCAGCTCAGTAAGCAGTAAGACGTCTGTTTTCCACGTGTGAATCGTTTGCTCGTGTCCAGAATGGAACCAAAACGCACGTCTGCCGTGATTAATGACATTTTACGTCAGGAGAGGTGTTTGTGTATTTGTGCCTATGGCAACCACGCGAGGGGAGTCTGGTCATGGTGATTTTAGCAGCATGGTCACCACTCTGGCCGACAAACGAAAAATTATTTTCACAACCACAGTTTCCTGTTCACCCAGTGGAAGTCCTTCCTCCCTAACAAATTTTTAATTTTCTTCTCTTTCTCTCCTTCATTTCTCATTTGTTTGACCTAATAAATCTACCTTTTTAATTTGAGTTCACCTCATCCATCATCCTCCTTACAGATTGTGTTTCTGGTTTCTAAGCCTCCATTCTGTGGCAGAAACATAAGAATTAGTCACTCGCACATTGAATGCAATTTATTATCTTGATCTTCAGCTACATGTGATCATCTTCAGTAAAATAGGAGTTGGGGAAAAAAACTATGGCTGTAATATTGCATTCCTTGAAAAGCAAATATACAAAAAAAATAAGGTTTCCATACTTTTATGTGCTGTAGAGAAAATGCAGGATCTACTCTTTAAGGCTGACAGGGACATAGGTGAAATACTTGAAGCGGACATAAAAAAAAAATTCCACCGATATTGATGCCGTGTTTGCTGAGGGGAAGTTGCCATTGTGGAACTTTGATTCTGACATAAGTTTTGTCAAACGCCATCTCTCTTCGGGGCTCTGTCAAATGTGTGGCTTTTTGGACAAACAGTGTGAGCGGTTAGATTGCATCAGAGGCTCTGAGTGTACCGTGAGTGTAACGATTGATGATATCGTTCAGTGTATGCCCGGCCCAACTGGTTCTCCAGTGGGTGTGTCAGCAACTTCTGATGATGGTAGACCATGATAACTGACCAATCTCTCCCAAATTCCCAAATCTATACTAAGACTGTGTCGTCTTTGAGTTACTCAGGTTCACCTTGAAAAAGTTTATGAACCCATTATCTGCAAGGAGAAACGTTGTGTTTGCCTGTAATGTGACCTAGATGGAAAGCTAGGATGGGAGAATAGGCTTGCTAATTTCTGACCTCATAATTTGTATTTAGTCAGAAACCTACCCATTTTTTTCTGATTTTGTTTAAAGAGCCTTTTAATTACTGTATTCAAAGAAAATGTGGAAATGATGTTGAACCTCGTCTACAAACAGCGAAGAGCTACCTTATAGTAATACGTTTATAGAACTCTCTACAGAATAGTTTTTTTCATTCTTTCTGAGGGTATTTTTTTTAATGTAATGTAAATGTAAACCCTTTATTGTCCCACAATGGGGAAATTCATGCTCTACATTTACCCCAACCCCTTGGGGAGCAATGGGCTACCACCGTTGGTGCTGGGGGAGCAGTGTGGAAGGTGTTGCTCAGGGACCCAGATTAGTAGTCCATGGTAGGACTACTAATCTGGGACTTGAACTCAGAACCTCTGGGACCCAAGCGCAATGCTCTAACTTTTCAAATATTTTCTTTGAACTTTTTACAAATTATTTTCAGTTCATTTCCAGAATCATGTTTTACCTCTGACCAATCACTTAAGGCAGACAAATGACTCGGATCTCAAAAGGATACATCAGTGTTAAGTCAGTGTAGGACTTTTAAACCAAAGAACCAGTTAAAAACTGTGTCTTGTAACAACAAGCATACCTCTTTCACAAACGGTTTATTAACCCCTCTTTAAGGTGACTCTATTGTTTTTTTTTTTGTTTTTTTTTTATATATATCATTCATCGAGCTACATTTGGAGGATGGACCTTAGCTGGGTCAATATTAAGCATATTTGAGGCATTGATAGTGTCAATTGGATCGACTCTATTGTACAGATGTAGTATTAAGCTTTAAAGGAAATGGCAGGTGTTTAAAAACAATTATAGCTGAGTAAAAGTACAGAGGTTTAGAAGCTACAGATTTTTCTGAAGGCCTTTTGAACTGTTTAAGTTCAGATTAATCTCTAGTTTGCTTTAAATCTTAGATCTAACACATTTCTTCCCTCTCTGCTCTTCAGGTCTTCTCGCCATCCTGATACCTGAGCTGGATCTCGTCATTTCATTGGTTGGCTCTTTCAGCAGCAGTTTCCTTGCTCTCATCTTCCCGCCTATCCTGGAGATACTAGCCTTTCGAACAGAGGGTCTATCACCACTGAAAACTACGAAGAACGTGATCATCAGTGTGGTGGGGATTGTGGGCTTCATATTAGGAACGTACGTTGCCATTGTGGAAATCGTTGCTCGAAATACTAGCAAACATCAAGAGACATTCAACACCTACATGGTGCAGTGAAATAGACTGTTGGGCCATTTTGGGCCCCTTTAAACCCATGTAGGGAACATTTTTATTCTGTTTTTATTTGCTGCTGTTGTAAACATATTTTAATGTAATTATGTCACTAATGTGTGAAAGGGTAACATTAAATGAATAACCGCCATTAGTGAAATCCAAAAACCTATTGTAAATACCTTCATGTTGAAGATGACTTCCTGATTTTAAGAGATTAGAGATGTTTTAGAGGTAATTAATCTTATTTAAAGGGTGATATTGATGTAAAATTCAAGTCAACAGATAAAACTACCTCAATAATTGCTTTTGGTTTTAACTCCCAGATAATGAGCAGATTAACAATTGGTTTGGTTGTTTTTTTACTCACCCAAAAAGCTTAAAGTTTACAGCTTTGATGGTTTTAATTACCTTCTGACATCTAAACAGAAATTAATTATTGATAAGAGAAAAATGCACTTTGATTTATGCCTTACTGATTCAAACTCTGCACTACTTTCACAGTTTTTGGTGACAAGTTCATTAGAGTTGAAATTGAGGGTTTTTGTGCTGAACCCTTAAATATTTCAGGAAAAACTTGTGCTTTTTATCATCAGTTATCAAATCCATAGTTGTATCTCTAGTCACCAGTTTAAAACATTAAACACATTATGTTAAACTAATAACAGCTGGCCGTACAAAAGCTCTAACATACTATTTTATCCCACAATTTAAAAAAAATACAAATCCAGAGACTCTTTGCTCAGTGGTAGAAGGGGTGTAAAAACTGTTTCAATATTAGTGAAAGTAGATTAAATTTTCTGCCCTCTTTTGAGCTAAATTTACATTATGCGGAATTTCAATGTGTCTCAGTCCGAATAGGAGTTTTTGAATAGCTTTTACAGCTGCACAATTACAGATTTAATGCAGCTTAGGCTTTACCCTTTTGAACTATTCAGAATTCTATTTTGCATTTTATTATTATTTTTTTTATGTCAACACCTTCACTTCCACATGTATGTCTTATGATTTGGGTAATCTGCATTCACACAGTTTGCTTATTGGGCATTTTTTCACAAAAATCATTTGATTCAACAGAAAAAAAAAGCCCTCTAATCATAAGCTTGATTTATTGCTCTGGTTTTTCAAAGTGAGTGATGTTCCTAGTGACTGTTAATTGATCCCACGGCCAAAGACAACCTGCGACGTAAATCAAGCAGTAATGTTTTCTGGGATAATCATGCAGTGTGACTCCAGCTGCAGACGTCTGATTATTGTCACCCTGACATGAGCGCTTCTGTATCAAACTCGTTTCCTGCTTCCTTCTTTCCTCTTTTCAGAACGATTTTATAATCAGTTCAATAACAGCTGTAACGTGTTGTTATTTTATTGATGGACTAATATCTCACGTTTGTGTGGCAGAAGCCCTGTTGTCCTCTCTTTAAAGTTTCTTCAAATATGCTGTAGCCTAGCTGGAAACAAATCGCTATTTTGACAAACCACCTGACATGTTTGACCTTGTCACATCAGCTTTACTTCCTTTCTTTAGTTTTCAAATATTAGTGGTGATTCATTGGATAAAAAAGGAATGTATCCCAGCCAAATAATGTCATTAAAAAGGCTATTAGTGAATTTTAATATAAAATCAACCAAGATTTCTGTCTGACAAGAGATTGTAAATCCTTCCATGCAGCTTTAAAAGTCTGACCAGAAATTCCAGCGAGGATTTGATAAGATTCAAGATAAAAAGCACAATGACCTAAAACTATAAAACACAACTAGACATTAGTCCAAACTGTTTTAGACTAAGGAGACATGGTTCTAAATTAAACATGAGCTCTTCTGTGTCTTCAAAATCTTTTTCTTTTTTTTTTCTTTTTTTATTGTGTTTTTATGTTTTTACTAACAGTCTTACTGTTTAATGATATTTTTTTTTTACCTGTACCTAACTCTACTGGTTGGTTCAACCACAGACAGTCTGTCCATTCAAAGATGATTCATCTGCAGTGTTGATCAGATCAAATGTAACATGTACTGTAAGTTCACTGTAAAGCTTCTGCACTGTAGTGCATCTCTAGTGTTTATGTGGCAGTATCAAACAGATCAATTTACAGCATTTAATAAAAAACCTTTTAGAAATTATAAAAAAAAATATATCCAAAAGCCTTATATGTATTAAAAACTTAGGGTTTTTTTTTTTTTTTTCTGTCCATGTGGAGTTATACTCATTAGTTGCACATGTCATGTTGGGCTCAGTAATCATTAGAAAATTCATCATTTAGGTTTGCAGAAAATTATGTCAGTTGAAAATATAAATCTACATCTTCCTGACAAGCTGCAGACTCTTTAACAGAGCGCATTTTCAGAGTTTTGTGCTGAACACTTAAACAGGTTGAAAACACGTTTTTACTTCAGCACTCTGTAATTTCTTCATTCCTTCCTGAAAATAAACAACCGTGACTACATCCCTGAGCTTCATCTTTTGTGTCTGTCAGATTTGTGTGCAATTCATGAATTAAAAGGTTTGTCTCTGGTTTAAACAGCCAGACTTCTCCATGCATTGCATTACAGGTGATATATTTGCTCATTTAATGTGACTTACATCTCTATTATGTGAAAAATAATCTATGCACCTTAAATTATCGATTGTTACGCATTTCATGGCTGGCAAATATACAGTTAACTACATGGTGTCATTGATTTCAGCTTAGCGGGAATATAAAATCATGGTTTGAAGCAAAAGATGCAACTAGAAAGTTCCCAGAATGATGACAGACACTGAAATCCCAACTCTGGCCTCAGTGCATTTAACAGCGACCTTTCAAAAGTAATATAGGAATATAAAGTTTATAGCTACAACTTAAGTGTATAAAAATCTATTGATTTCACGGAGGAGCAGTAGTTTGGAGATGTAACTAATTGGCACCCTTACTGGGGATTTAAAATGTATTTTTCATAGACCCACAATGCCTCTAATTCACCACAGGGATGAAGGAACATTGTTAAAAAAATAAATAAAAAATCTCAGTTTTTTTTCTACCTCAGTATAATGAATCCTGAAAGCTTTGTCAGCTAGAGAAAAACCAATATACCTTCAGTCCAGTAGGGGGTGGTAAAAGAAACTCACCACTGCATTACCTAGTTACTTACTGTACTTTACTTACTTTTTACATATAGATTAATTTTTATTGTATTTAGGCAGTAAAATAATTCCTTCCAAGCTACAATGAATCAATAAGGAATAAAGATGTATTTTATCAACCTTTATCTAGCTGGAGCTGTTGCTTTAAAACTTCATAATCAATTTATAATAATATCCAAATTATTAACTCAGTTATTTTTCTTTTATCATAATAAATTAAATCTCCCATCTGACAAAATTGTATGTATATATGGAATTCATTCCTTGGCTATCTAATGTATAGATATTAGAAATTATAAGTAGATGTTGGAGACGGTGAAGTCAAAGGTGTCATGACTTAATCAAGGAGAGTATTCAGTTAGTTCTATTATTCCACCAAAACATGTTAGCCATTTTTTATTCTAGTGAGTTTAAACATTTTTAAAAAACTGTATTGTTAAGAATATTAGATGTTATTTTCTGGCACTACCAAATAAACACTTTATATCTATTTTTCAAACACTACAAATGGATGAAAGCCAGCAAGAAAACCCAGAGTGCCTGACTGGTTTGGAGGCAGCTTAACTAACCTAACACGATTTTTGGGATTTGGCTGGCACCAGTCAGCGGAGGGAGAGCAGGACGGGGGGAATGGGCTCCTCACTTAGCGGAGACTTGAGATGTTCTTGGGAGAGGGAGCAGTTCAGACCCCAACCTGGACAAAATAATAAATAAAAAAAACACAGTCGCAATCATGCCTTCCCACCCTATTGCCCACACTCACAACACTTGGACTTGGAATTCCCTTCGGTACCTCTTTGGATCTCTGATCTTCTGGCCTGGACTTCTGCTTCCTCATCAACACCGACGTCAGATTCTCCTTCCAGATACTTCTGCTCTTCTTCATTCGCTGGCTTCTGCTCGTCTGTCTGCTCTGCAGGACCTTTGGCTTCTACTCCTGGAACTCTCTGGGCCGCTTATGCAGCATGCTGTGGAAAATCATCCAGCTGGATTCCACTCCTTCCTCTGGACTCTGACTGAACTTAAAAACCAGAGATTCCAGTCATCTAGTCCAGGCTGACAATCCACAGATCCCTACGCAGTTAATAAACCCTTTTTATAAATCACTTCAGTCTGTCTGCCTAAATTCTGGGTCCAACGCTCTAAGTCCTGACAGTCTTTATTCAGAGTCATTTTTATAGACTAATTTTATCCCCTGATAGCATTAATTAAGCTAAAAAAATGTTAATTCAATGTTTTCTCCTTATTAAATACCTGACTAATGAAGCAAAATAAACGTACAGGCCACTCTGTTTAGTACACCTGCTTAGTTTCTGCTTGTTGACGCAAATGGTAAACCAGCAATCCAATCACACAGCAGAAACTCAGTGAATTTAGACATGTAGACATGGTTCAGATGTCTTGCTGAAGTTCAGAGTATTGACATAGAAAATAAAGTCAATTCAAATGAATTTTAATGTTGCAGGGGGTCAGATGTTGTGGCAGAACTACAACCAAGTAATGACAGCAACATTTTCAGGACCCTTGCATAAAATCCTGGGCCCTATGTAAACTAAATTATAATAATTAATCCCTTCTAACAATGAATGTCCAGCTTTTTAAATGTTCCCAATGATGTTTTAATCATTATCTTTAGGGCTAAGCTCCAGGTGTTTCAGATATACACGGCTCCTCGTCATTGGCCAATTTTTCACCTGCCTTCACTGTCATGATCTTGGCACTGATGAATGACTTAATTACTCATTCCATTCACCTGCCTAACTCTGCACGGTTTCTAATCACTTCTCATCTCACCCACGTGCTCCTGCCTCTATTTTACATGCTTGCATCAAGTCATCAGGGCCAGATTATTTTTGTTCTCTCTAGTCAGTGGTTAGAGTGTTTTTAGCATACCTAAGTGCCTACCTGATCCTGACCTCTTCTGCATCTCAACCACCTAGCCTACCTGTTGTCATTTGAATGGTTTGCTTGAACTGTCTTTGGACTCCTGGATCTCTGAGCCTGCCTGTTCCTTTTCTGATCTGTTTGCCTGACCTGGCTTTGGACTCCTGCATGTTCTCCGGGGCTGCAGCATCTGGTACACTCTGGGCAGTGCCCGCTGCATCTTGTTGGCAGCCAACCCTTTGGATCATACCTTTTTCTTTGGCTATTGACTGAACTTTTAAGCCCGGTTAGTGACCCACGTACGTGATCACTTACCTGTGTTTTCTTCTGTCTAGAGTTTCCTGCTCAGAAGCCCTAGCCGCTGCTACTGCAGATCCGCAGCTTGTCATTTTAATAAATGCTTTTTAAATAATCCCACTGTCTGTCTTGCATTGAATAATGTGTCCTCATCCTGAGTATTGAACTTCACAGATGTTTTCAACCAATTCAGTTAAGAACCCAAATAGTAATACATCTTCTATCAGAAGAAACATCCAGGTAAAGATCACTCTAAATTTGAATCTCCCAGAAGAAAGAATACATTTTTGACTTGACTGTACAAACCATATCAGCTGAAATCTTGCTTAATAAGTCAATATTTCTTATCTATCCATCAGTGGTATAGGACATAGGTAAAATTATGATCTTTGATAACCTCTATTTCAAGAAAACATCAAGAGGATGTATGATACTTTAATAGTCAAATACACAGGTCATTCTTAATTTTTACTAGTTAAAAAGAAATGGAATAATTCAGCGTATATGAGCTCTGCAACTGATGTGTCTGCCTCTGAAGGTCATGCTATTCATGATGTGATGCTTTAATGAAATATTCCTAAAAGCTCAGTATCTATCTTGTGTCATACCTGCTCTCTTACGTGTAATCTAAAATGAATTTAAAAAGTAGTAGTTCATAATAAAAAGCTACCAGAAAGGTTGTCCTTTATAAATGTCTACGTCTACTTTAAAGGAATCAATATTGTTAAAATAATGTGAAGGAAATAGACAGGGGAGTCATATTCCACAGTTAAGACTGTTTGAAAGCAGTGATTCACATAAGCTTTGAAATAGGACAGAGGAAGTCTCTGGTTGTCTAATCTGAGGTGTTGATGTCTGGGGCTTAAAGAAGTTGGACGTGTAATAAGGAGGCTGACCTTAGAAAGCCTTCTTTCTCCAGCCTGATACTCATCTGGCTGTTGAATCTATTTGTGACTTCAGAATTGACTGAGTGCAAATGTGCAAGTCCCTGACAGTTCCTTAGTCTAGTTCTTGGAGGTGTTTATGACTTCAATACCTAGTGCATCACTGCACACTTTTTGGGGTCTGAGTGTCTTATTTAAATGCAAAGTCTGGCTGATAGTATCAAGCATGATCAAGAGGTCTTGCTTTGTGTCCTGGCATCAAACCCTGGAATTCAAAAATAGGAGCTTTTGCTGCTGGAAGCTAGAGCTTCCACCAATCAGAGCAGCTCAGTTTATGAGGTAAATTATTTCATCAATAGACAGAGAAGACATGCAGGACAAATTCATTGTGTGTCCTCCTTTTATCATCTACAACAGGGCCTTCTGTCCTACATGTTTAAGCCATTTTCCTGCCTCCACACACCTGATCTGAATAGAAAGGTTATAAAAAGGATTTTGAAGCATTTGATTGCTGCCGAGGAGGTAATGCCATCATTTGAATCAGATGTGCTTGAGGAGAAACACATCTAAAACATGAAAGACAGTGGGCCATGAGGACCAAGGATAAGAAACCCTGATCTACGATATAACCAGCTTGAGAGACTGGAGTAAAAAGGATCTATTCTGGAGGAAGATTAGCAAAGAAACAGGGAAGTCTGGTAAATTGGCAAAAGTTTGACCAAAGTAAAGAGAAAAATCCCCCCATCTTTTAGCTCTAACTCGATCCATTATTATGTTCAGCCATTGCTTATTTCTTACTGACAGATCCTGTAGTTATTCAGAGGAAGTGTGAAGAAAGATGTGAAAGAGTTTGAGGGACACCAAGAGGCATTGGAAGGAGAAGGGGAGAAAAGGGAGTGATACAGCAGCAGGGACAGGGCAGAGATGGAAGTACCTGGTGGTTCTTTCCTTCCAAGAACCCCTAGTGACTCTACGAGTGACCTCCAGTTACATGGAATGAAGGGTCAGGAGGGACAGACTGCTGGGTACAACCACCCAGAATAGCCAGAGGAAGCAGCAGCAGGGCTATCATGTACAAGTGGTTAGTAGTTTAGTGAAGAAATAAAAGTGGATCGGGTTAAAAATGTACATTTTTTATCTCCCCAGTTCCTTTCATTTTTGAGTCATTGTTATACTTATAGTTTTATATATATATTTTTTAGCATCACAGAAACAGCTGGAACATTGCCCGTCCC